GGCACAAACAATTAAAAGTTCTTTTCAAAGTGGAAATGCAAAATAGACCGAATATCTATTTTCTATAAATGAATCTAGCCATCTGCCTCACAAAAGCAGCAGCAGGAGGACCCAAAACAGCAGAAACAGCAGCCTCTGGTGTTAATCTATTCTCAAATCTCATGCTCCAAATTTCCCCGGCAAACAAGGCTAAAAATACAAGACATGCAACAAATACTCTCTTGGGATCTGCCATTCTATGGATGGCGTATTCAATCACAGTAATATTTTCCCTTGAAATTTAAAACTGAAAAAAAAGCAAGCTATCATATTAGAAACCGGCACTCAGCATTATAAGTGTGAATTCAATCGCAAAGTATACTAGGTTGAATGGTGAGAGGGTAGTAGTTTTCATACAATATAAATCATTCAGATTTATCTGAATATATGTACTGATCTATTTAACCTATTCTAAATTTCTCTACAGTTCGTGATAGTTATAAGGACAACGTTTCAGTACTTTTGTCACCAAAATACCAGGGTCCACTTATTTCATAAGGGTTTAGAAGGCTGTCTTTGTCAGGGACTCTGAAGTCAGACTGATTCAATTCAAATCCTGCTCTTCCATAAGCCATCTGGAACACTGAGAAAGTGTTTAACCCCTCTATTTCCTTCTTTTCCTGTCTTACAAATGAGGAAAATAGTATTTACTTGATTCCAAAAATAGGGAGAGAGCTAACATAAAAAGTGGTGACAACAAGATAGTAGTTCTCAGGCTTATAGTGGCCATTTAGCAAATGAGTGGTGAGGTGGATGTAGTGGAAAACCCTTGTAATCCAAGCACTCTAGGAGGACCAGGCAATAGGCAGGTGAGTTTGAGCCCAATCTGGGCAATTTAATAACTTGGTGAGACCCTGCCTGGGAAGCGGCTTAGTGGAAATGCTTTGTGTTCAATGCCCAGTACCAAAAAAGGTGGAGAGAAGGGAGGGAGAGAAGAAGAGCAGGAGGAAAGAAAGAAAGTGTGTATTTACATAGAGTATGTGGCTTAGAATAAGAAAGCATAAGTTTCTACTGGTTACTGTGTTGTACTGTAAAGCATCAGAATGAAGTTGGAGAAGCTAATGACATTGCTGGTCTGGACAGCAGTGTCTGGAGTCAGGGACAGCAGGACTGATGACAAAGGTGTAACTGAGGAGGAGGGCACACCCAGCCTCCCAGTGAACAGATATGTCAGTCCATCAAGAGGACACCCTGCACCACCAATTCCTTAAAGACTGCCGTGGAATGGTTCTTTGGATATCTGTTTCTGGAATAGATTTTAAGACATCTGGCTTGGGTCTCTAGCTTAAGTATTTTTTTTTTAAGTATAAAGGAAAGGGTACCCAATAATCACTATCTCCAAAAAGAAACTGATTCCATTGTAAACCTTAATGTTGGTAATGTCTTAAATTGGGTACTATATTTGGTGGGAGGAAGAAAATCAAAGACAAGTTTACAAACCATTGTGGCAATGCAAACAAAAGTGCTTCCCTAATTAATCGAACAGCCTGGTCTCGAGCTACCTGAGGAGTCAACCACAGAATCCAGAGAGGATCTCCAGGGTTCCATCAGTGTCTTAGTCCTGCAGGTTACTGATTAAGGACTACAGACCACAGAGTGAGAAAGTAAGTAAGGGTGACAGGTGCTGTCATTATAGGGCCCAGTCCAAACAATATACTTTAAAAACTGAGATGTTTTAGAGATCTGTCCAACAGAACACTTTAGTAGGAAAAGGAGCTACCATGGGGCTGCTCAAGCTAAGAGCACAGTCCAGGAATCAGAAAAACACAAACTCAGCAGGTAATTGGGTGAAGATCTTTCTCATAGTTCTATGAAGGGATACATTTTTTGAAGAAAAGGAATAAAATGAGGAAAGGGAGAAAAGGTATTCCCTAATAATATTAAGGAGAAAGTGGCTGTAGTTTTTCAAATTGGATGAACTGTAGAGATAAGTGGATTTAAGTATATGTAAGTCATATTATATTATGCCTATAAAATAAATGTGTACTTCTCTTGCCATTAATGAACTGCTGCAGTTATCATGAGAAAGAGTTCATCATCTAGGACATTTTTTCAAACATGGAGTTGTGTGAATACCCAGCATGTCGAAGGACATCTTCCTCCAACATGTTCTCCCTTTCTTTAATGATGAGGTTCTCTTATGTACAGTATCTAATGCAGGATTCACAACCAGACCGACAGCGGCACTTCTTTTTTTCCAAAAACAAAAACAAATCAGTATGACAACATGATGTAGATTCAATTAGCACTTGGCAGGTCACAAATATCTTTTAAACAACCTTCTTTTAAGTTAGAGAGTGTTAAAACATACAGTAATCATAGCACTGGAGTGCCTTTCTTACCTCTACAGGCAGGAAGAAGACCAAAGAGGCAAGCATTACAAGAGCAAGACCAGAGTACAGTATAACACTGAGTCACTACTACTTCTTATAAGCCATCCCTTGCCTCAACTATCTTCCTATTTGAGAAGAGTCAAAGACAATCATGTGAAATTTCCCTCTAATTTTTAGAGGTTTTTACATTAAGTATGGAGGGAAAGAAAACAAAAAGTTGATACAATCCTCTTGGAAACAGACAAATTTTAAATATTGTAAAGAAACTATGACTGAACTGTGAAATACTCTCATACTATCAAAGCAAACAGAATAATTCTGGATATCCCATTGGTTAGGGAAAGTATATTATCTTGGATCAAATCAACAAGGAAAGTCTGAGGGATTGGGAATTGGAAAAGTGTTTGACTAGCATGTGTAAAGCCTGGGTTTGCTCCCAGCACTGAAAGAAAGAAAAGAAAAGAAAAGAGAAGGAAAAAAAGTCCTGGAGAACAAAAACTATTTGTTTGGGTAAGTAAAATCCACCACCTCGGGCCCACCCTCCACATGAGGTGGGACCCCTAACCAAGGATGCACTAGAGGTAGACCTCATGGTGGGTTTGCTGAACGGGTGCCCTCCCGGGATGGGAGAACCTAAATAACACTGAAACACACCCTTTGTTCTGAGAACTTCAATCCTGCCCACCTGCCCAAAGCCATGGAGTATGGCTCGCAAGTTTTGCTGTTTGCTTAATGCTCATTTCTTGAGGAATCTGACAGCTGCTAAAGGTAATGGGCTTCATGCCCCAGAAAGTAAAATGTGACAAGGGAAATATTAGTCAGATTTACTGCTCCACTCCATGTGTCTTGAATATCACTGTGATCTGTGCAAGACATTTGTTGTAAATAAGCCTGCAGAGTATACAGTGTGTTTTCCAGGAGACCTTTAAAGAACAGCTTGCAGACAAGAGGTGCTAGCCTTAGTTTCACAGCCAGCAGAACTCCCTGCAAGAGGCTCTTGGCATTTCCCCACCTCTTGTTTGGAGCTGGCTTTAAGACAACTCCACCAAACCAATTCCCAGGGTGAGTACCTAGAGCCAGTTACTGCTGGGCATTCAGCACCCAACGGTAAGGGGAAACTCAGCCATGTTCATATTTAGCAGAGGGAAAAGCCCACTTTCCCCCACAAGTGTGTGAAAAACAACTCTGAGCTGATTGCAGTGAGGCAGTCTCCCTTCTCAGTAGTAAATTAAATGGCTGAAGCTTGTGCTTCTTCCAGAAAGAAAAAGAAGTATGCTTCACCATAACTCAGTGTGGAGCATCACTGAGGATCATTTTTAAACCTTTCCTGCTTTTTAAAAAAAGCCTGCTCCATTTACACACACACACACACACACACATACACTCACACACACACAAAACTTTCCAAGAAAATTGCAAATAGACACAGACCAGAATCACGAAGTATCTACCCACTTTAAAATTTTTTTGTTTTGTTTTGCAGGCAGTAGGGCTGCATTTAACACACCATTAGCTGCCACAGAATCAAATTATATTGGCTCTTTTGTGATCGTCCTCAACCTTCCCTAGACCTCCCTGGAATATATTCAGAAGGCAGAGGGAAGGCGAGGCTGCTAGCTCAGTCCCACCTCCCGACAGACAAGCACTAGGTAAATCATTCTAATGCAATGACATATTCGAAGCCTACTAGGTGGCAGAAGAAAGGTAAAGAAGGGCAGAAAGGGGGAGCTTCTGGATTATTTGAAAGGTACAGCCACAATATTGGAGCCAGATCTAAAACCGCCTGAGACCCTTTTTAGAACAACTCCATGGGATTTATCTTTAAGTTGACGCTTCCTGTCCTCGCTCAAGGTGGAGCTGAAAACAGTTGCAAAATTGTGCTCCGTTAAAGAGTGCAGAGGAGCCAGGGGAAATGGGGTCTATGCTTCCAAGAGGGAAAGCAGCAGGTCTCCAGCCGCTCAGCGGGCCGCGCTTCCTAGCCTGAGTAGCCTCAGTTAGGGAGAGGAGGCAGGGAGCAGCCCCGGGCCAAGTGCTGATCCTGCTGGGCACTGCAGACGCAGTTACAAGGAGAGGACGCACGGCTCTCCAGCTCCGGCACACCCGCGGCCTCGGCGAAGGAAAGCCCAGGGCCGGGGTCTGCCGAGGGGCACCAAGCTGGGCGCAAAGCTAGGTGACTTCAGCTCGTTGTCGCTTCCCGAAAGGAAAAGGCGCGGTTTCGCTTCGAGCCCACCCACCCGGCCCCTTTGCCTAGGAACTCTCGGACATCACCGTGGACTCCCGCCCAGAACGATCTCGCCTCGGAAGGAGGAGGAGAGGACGAGGGAGAGGGAGAGCGAGGATGGAGACGGGGCCACTACTCCAGTCTTCGGCAATGGGGGGGGGGGGGGCACGGCTCAGGAGAAGAGCGTGAAGGGTAGGGCCCCGGTCACAGCAACCTGTAGGATTGCGGCAGATGGCAAACTTGGGCTCAAGGCTGTGTCCCCTCAGAGGTCCGCCGCCCCATTCCCACCAGGCAGGCTCGCCGAGCGGCGAGGTGCAGAGCCCAACTCGGGCAGCGACTCCGCGGGTGCGGGTCCCGCTCAGGCTCCGACGCCGCTCGCCCCACTCCTCGCCCGGCCCCGCGCTTACCTCGGGCAGCCGCAGCCCCCGCCGCCCAAAAGCAGAGCTCCAACCAGCGCAGCCAGCGGCGCGCGCCTCCAGCGCCGGTCCCCGCGGCCGCAGCCCGCCCCATGCTCCTGCTCCGGTCCGCTCCTCGGCCGCCGGGAGTCCGGGGAGGCACCGCGACGCGGGCCGAGCAGAGGGTCCCGGGGGTCTCTCGCGAGTGACTGTTCCACAGCCGCTTCCTACAGCAGCGGGGCAGGGCTCCCGGAGGAAGCCGAGCAAGTCCCCATCGCCGCCTTGGATGCGGCCACCGCCGCCGGCCCCGCCGTGCGGCGCACAGCCCGGCTCCGCCACCGGCCCCGACTACAGAGCGGAGCCGCGAGTCCGCATCGCTAATGAGCCCCGCGGCCGCCCCGCCCCGCCCCCCCGAGCGGCAGCCAATGAGCGCGGGGGGGGCGGGGGCGGCGGGCGCGGGGCGGGGCGGCTCGGCCAGGAGGCGCAGGTGAGCCCGAGGCTGGGCATGTATTGCTCGGTACCCTCGCCCCGCACGCGGCCCGGACTCTCGGGCCAGGGACCTGGTTGTGCCCGGCCGCGCGAGTGTGCAGGCGAACGCGCGCGGACGGAGGGGCGCACCGGGCTGCCAGCTCCGTGTCAGCTGCTTCCCTGAAATCTCCGTTTTAATCAACTTCTAGCCCCTTGAACTTCATGCCTGTCCTATTGCCACTGTGTACTCTCAAATCAAAAATCACGCCTGAAAATAAGACTTAGAGCCAAGCCAGGAAAAATAGCAATAAGGATAAATCCGTTAAAGCAACTATGCTAATTAATGCCTGCCTGCAAATAAAGACATGGGGAATTACAATCAGGAGTGTGTTAAGGATTTTTTTTTTTTTTTCTAATACCTTTTTCTGTTCTCGCAGTCACTTCAGAATCCCGGACCTCTAAGCAGACCCCACTTCTGATGGCTCCTATTTTTGTTCTAATCTAGATCCTGGAAATTGCCTTTCTAGTATTTACCAGGAAAAGGAGAAATGGGCCTCTTTCACAGAGGGAAGAAGGCCTTTCTTAAAAAGCATTATTGTCAGATCTTACCTGCTTCTGAAGGTTCCTAGAGGTTCCCTCTTCCCCCTCCCAGTTCGGCCCAGCCACAAAGCCCTGGGGCGACTCAGACCCCAGACTGCTTTGTTCTCTCCCAGGACGGAGACTTCTGATCAACATTTAGGCCATTCTTTTGAGGTCAAGGTACGGGGTCTATTACCTACTGTTATTCTCTAATATGAAATTTGTTTTATTTTTCATAGCAGTAAGAAGAGTGCTTTTTATATTTTATTGATATCTAAGTGTATTGCATTTTTTAAAAGATGGTGCTAAACACAGTAGCACATGCCTGTGCTTCCAATAATCTGGGAGGCTTGGGGAAGAGGATCGCAAGTTGGAGATCTGCCTGGGTAATTTAACAAGGCCATTTCTCCCTAAAATACATACATACATACTATACGTACATACATACATACGTACGTACAAAATGGGCTTGGGATGTAGATCAGAGGAAAAATCCTGAGTTCAATCCCCAGTATCTCAGATCAATCAATCAATCAATCAATCAATAAGTGGGAGAACTCAAAGGGTCCTAATAAGCAACCCTATTTACCTGGGTAGCCCAACAGAAAAATAAGGCTTGGCTTGAAAGACAACCTTCCCAACAGCTCTCCACTACCCAAGCTCAACATCGATGCAGGTACTTTTTAAAAATCCATCTCTCTCACCAAAGTGCGACCTGCTTCCAAATGCCTTTCTCTGGAGAATAAACAGTTTAAGGTGAGGTAATTGTTCTGGATGGGATAATGGCACTAACTCACTTTCTTCGGAAGGAAAAGAGGATGATAGGCAGAAAGATTGATTTGCTGATGAGCACAGATGCCACCCTATCCTGAGTGGCACCAGACATGTGACTGTCAGAGGAAGGAGCCTATTGTTTCTTCCAGTCTCCTCCCAGCTCAATAAAAGGTTTGGGACCTGGTCAAGAAAACCAAGCTCTGGGGAACTGATGCTTCAAACAAAGACTGATTTGAGGCTGGCGAGGGACTTGCCCGAAAATCTCCTTAGAATCTTGGTAAATGAGGGTTTTGTCCTTTTCCTCTGAGAAGGTGAATTGAGAATTAATCTACCAAATATGCTTTACCTGTCTTCTGGAAAATAGTCATTCAGCACCTGACTTTCCTTATTCTTCAAGACTATGTGGCAGCTCTGTTTCAAATGAATACTTGTTTTTAAAAATACTATATTTCCAAGATCCTTTTTAAATCTTGCTGTTGTCCCCACAGGAAGGCAAAAATGAAACCAGTTTTATTTTTAAAAGAGAGTTAAGAAACAGGTTAGCTAATTTTAGGTTAATAATTCAAGTAAAACTACAAGGACAAATGAAAATGAAAGAGGTAAGCTAATGACCTTTGAGTGAATCCTATGTTCAAGAAACAGAACCAAACCCTGTGCAGCAGGTACTGGTGTCCCTTTTAGCAGGTGAGAAAAGTCATGTACAGTTTAAAAGAGAATTGGCCAAGGTCACATAAATTAGTGGCTAAACACTCAGAGTGACACATCCATCTGTGTAATTCCAACACTTCAATGAAGGCTTTTCCACTTCATCCTTCTCTACATTATTTAGCTTTGGGGTTGGGGGGAGATTGGATCGTTTGCATTATCACACATATTACACACCCTATATTAATTATGTATCACATATTATATGCTCAGCACTTTCACACACCCTACATTAATCTAACACTGGCTATTTTACAGCATGTACAAATTGTACTTTTTTCCATTTGAAGAAATATCTATATTTCTTTGGAGAAATAAAGTGAGCAGTTGCTATCAGAATCATTATTATCTCTGACCAAGGAGCAGCAGTATAGTAGCACTGCTGGGGATCATTTCCTGATTGCAAGATGGTGCTTTGTGGTGCAAACAGGAAGGTAGGCTTGGTGCCTCCTTTGTAAGGCCCTTAATCTCATCCATGAGAACTGCATCCCCATTCCTTCCCAATGCCATTACCTTGATGAGGTTTCAACTTGCGAATTTTGGGAGGACATAAACATGCAGACCACAGCAGTAGGTAAAGTTCCTTCAATGAACAGATGTGCTAAGGTGTTCTGTCTCAATTTTTTCTTGTTTGAATTGACTAGGCCAATTTTTTAAGTACTCTATCTTCAAAGGGATGAGGGAGAATGCTTCTAATTCCATTGTCTTTCAATCTTCTCCAGCTCAGCTAGCTCAAAAGGTAGAACATATTTGAGCTGGGTCAAACTAGGAGAGCAGAGAGACCAGGTCGAATCTGGAAAGGCTTGTCTTTCCAAGTAGGAATGTTTTTGAGAGATATTTTACTATAATTTCCTTAGGAACACTTTATATATGTCTGGGAAAAATGTTTAATCCACCTGCTCAGGGTAAGTAGTAAAAGTCCAGAGGAAGATAAAGAAGATGAAAATGTTCCACATGAGGAAGGGGAAGGATTTGCTCTAGGAGATGAGTAAGGAAGAAGGGAACCTTGGAGCTCATGGAGAGCCAGGCCTTTCTCCTTGCAGTGCCGAATCATCATCACTAAAGTTAGAAGGGCCAGTGAACTCTTCCTGTGGTTGGCAATGTGGTCCTGGGGACTGAACCCAGGGTCTCACACATGTTAAACAATTTCTCTGACCAGGAGCTACATCCCCATCCTTTGTTGTTGTTGTGAATTTTTTTTTATTTCATTTTGAGATGTCTCAATAAATTGCCCAGGTTAGCCTTGAATGTGAGATCCTCCTGTCTCAGCTTCCCAAGTAGCTGAGATTACAGGTGTATTCCACTGAGCCTGGCTCAAGGTGAGTGTCTTTAGGAAATGTGGTGAAGGAGTTTATGTTTGAATCTAGATTACTGAAAACAAAGTAAATACTCATAAAAAAGCAAAAGGAAATTGGACACCAAAGCATTCAAAAAGCACCAAGGAATTTTTGTTTGCCCTGGCAAACCACAGACTAGATTCTCTGAAGAGCAGTAGTGCCTCATTTAAAACATAAACAAAAGTCAGATGTCAAATCTACTGAGATCACAACCCTATCGTAAAAGGAGGAGAGATGCACACAGGAACACTGAAGGGAGGCTTGGCAGAAGAAGAGCTAAAAACAACTCCATAGTACACTTCTGCAATGTAATTTACCTAACATCTGGAATGAATGGGGACTTTAGTTATAACTGCTATTATTTTTTCTTTTAAAGTTTCTAGGGAATTTTAAAGTGCATATTCTTCTCCTGGCCATGTATCATAGAGAGACAGTCTTGCCACATTTGGGATGCTAGGACTATAGCCTTCCTTTTCCTTGAACCTATCTGCTAATTCTGAAGCCCCAACTCACAGTCTGTTTCAGCCTCTGCAGCTACTGGATGCTTCTGATAAAAGCCACTGTCTCTATTAATCATATAATTATGAAAATAAATTAGGGAAGACCAAAAATCAACTAGACTAAAGGGCAACACCTGGCAACTTCTATTGGTGAACTTGGCAATACAATTAAATATTTTACTAGTGATAATTCCTTTGAGAATAGTCTGTGCCAGTCATTTCCCCAGGACAGTCTTGTTCAATCAGAGAAGCACATGACTTGCCGTGAGCAGGCTGAATTTGATTTGGCAGCATGTGCTTACTGGCCAGATCATGATTCAGAAACGTGCTGTAACGAGGTTGATGTTAAAAGGGAGGGAACTGTGAGTACTTCACGTGTAATGTTCTATCTGTGTACAATAATCCAGGTTAACAACCTTCCCTATTAAAGGCAATATGGGATTGTTTGTTAACTAAACTCCCTTTCTCTCTCTCTCTCTCTCTCTCTCTCCCTCTCTCTCTCTCTCTCTCTCTCACACACACACACACACACACACACAATTAGAGAAGTCTAATTTAGAGACGGGGCTATGAAGCAGCAGTAAAGTGGAAAAAATTCAATACATTTGTTTAAAAAGGGCAGCAGGGCACCAACATATGACTCTAACTACACAGATTTTTCCTGACAACGCAAGTGTGCCATCCCCTTTTATACCCTGGGAATTCTCCCTGAAATCAGAATTTCAGCTGCAGCTGTTGACACAGATGAATGAAAGAACTTAAAAATAATAACAAGAAACACAATTCTTTGGCAGTAAAATTAATGTGTCAGTGCTTCCAAAATAATAAACTGTGATGAGAA